TATGAATAAGGTCCCATTTTTACTCTTTGGGTACGGAACCCTAAAAACAATTGAAATTGAACAGTTTTCTATTCATTAAGTAGCGAACCTAAATTTTTACTTATTCATTGGAATGTTAAAGGAAATGAGAAAAAAAATTAAGAAAATAAACATTTTTTTTATCAGAAATATTGATTATTTTATTCATATTCATTTCGTGCGCCAAAAAGTGGAATAATTTAGTTGAGAATTAATTCCAATGCTTAAAGGGTGTTTCAATAAGAGTGCGTTTTTTGGGTTCCGTAGTCCTGCTGACAAGGAACCGTTATAGTTTAGTCATGTCCATCTGTCCGTCCCCGGTTAAGCTTGGAGTCTATTAGCACTAGAGAGCTGTAATTTTGTGGAGACATGTAGGTATTGATATTGATCACGCCAACAAATGGAAGAATAATGAGAAAAAAAAATTAGGGTAGCTCCCCTTCATGTAACCTGGGGATGCTTTTTCTTTTCATCATTTGCCCTATCGTGTGCAGCCCCCCAACCCATCATCGCGGCGATGATAGCCACTGTTTTAATCGCCCATCATAGGCCATTGTGAAGCTTTCACGGTAATTAATGTTAGCCATCCAGGTTTGCCAACATCACGAGGTTCCTCGTTCATAAACGAGATTTCTGCTCGTTCGTACGAGGTACGAGAACACTACACATCTCATACAACTACGTACGTACAAGATTTTATCAGAAAAACTTATAACATAATTTTCATTGTAGTCAACCTGATGGAGCATAAGGTAAGCCTTCAAACCAGTCTATATTTATTATATTTATATTTTAATCATTTATCTCTTACATGCAAATCATGTACCTACAAGGTTCGAAAGCCTGATTACTCAATTTTAGCTGCCTAACAAAGAAAAACAATTCTACGGTTGGCAACCCTGCAGACATCAATCAGTCAATTGTCTTCCTTTAACAATGTACTCTGTGATTGTCATGTCAAGCAAGTATCTTATGAATTGGCTGTATGGGTACAGTACCCTTTGCCTTCCCAAAATGGGTAAATAAATTAAATTAATCAAGTAAGCGTGTTTGTTGAGTAGCGCCGTTTTTGGCGGGATTTCATTGAATGCGGTTGGCGCCTTATTTCAATTATTCTTAAATTCGTTCATAGTCGATATTGTGAAATAAAATTGGGGTAAAACTGTATGTTACTGTGTTCCAGGGTCCAAAAAGTGATACTTTTTTTTTGTAGAAAAGGTCTTTTTAACAGATTTTTTTCTGGCGCTTCGCCGACCGCTGCCGCGGCACGCTCGCTTTGCTTGCTCGTCTCGCGCGTTATGGTCACAACACTAACCTAATCTAGTGTGAAGTATCACCACTTGGGCCCTGGAAGTATAGTTTAGCCAAAATTGGTGTGATATTGTGTTACAAACGTCTGCGCAACTGAAGAATTAGTAGAATCTTTAAAATATACGCTGTTCCTGTCAAGTGGACGTGAGAATTTTATTATAGTGTGGACTGCCTCACAGAAGCTTATCGAAAAATCCAACTCGATAGATTTCGTTCCAAACACTCCAAGAAACATTAGAATGCGTCACACCGACATTCTAATGTAAAAAAAAGGTAAATTTAAAAAATCAAAAAACCCGACTGCTTAATTATACTTCAAATAAAAACTGAAAAGAGAAAAACAAGTCCAGTAGTCTATAATTCTGTTAATAAGGAACAAAGCTACTTTAACAGTCGGGACCCACTGTTGAAAAATATTATCTATTCTTGAATATCTAATGGGTCCCGACTGTTAAAGTAGCTTTGTTCCTTATTAACAGAATTATAGACTACTGGACTTGTTTTTCTCTTTTCAGTTTTTATTTGAAGTATAATTAAGCAGTCGGGTTTTTTGATTTTTTAAATTTACCTTTTTTATTTCACACTTTTTAGTTAGTTAGTATTTTAAGACGGTATAACCGTAGTCTTGTTACTTCAGTATGAGAATTAATATCGCGGGAATTATTAAGTACCTGGCGTCAGCGTCGGTCTAAAAGATTGATTTATTAAGACATATAAAGACTTTACCAGCGGGGTCAAGGCTACAGATGGGATTCATTTTTCACAAAAATGGGTGAAGTTAAATCAAGTCGTTAAATAATTATCTCTTATGTATGTAAATTTTATAGTAAACTAACTAGCACTTACTCAAAAAGTCATTTTTTGTTTATATTTTTTTTTAATAGTTTAGCAGTAAATATAAAATTCATTTACTTTTATTCGTCGACTATTTAAAATTGGCAGTGGCTGCATTGTCATGTCAATACCGGACGTCTAAGATTGTGATATACACAAATTCAGTGTCAGTCCCTAGTCTCATAATTTGATGAACCTACATAATTCACAGAAACCCAAAATGTAGATGCCAGAAGTTAACTTCAAATGTTTTTAATCACCCTATATACAATACCAATCAATGACGTTTATGTCGCAGGTTGAAGAAAGCAGTAATTCCCGTCTGTTGTTTTGGACAATGGTGGCAATTGCCTTAGATCACTAAATTAAATAATTATGCAATCACCAAAGCAAAGTTTATAATATTTGATTAAACTAAAGGCGCATAATAAAATTTTCATAAAGTTAGGTAGAGCACCATAGCAATCTCATTTATTATCAATTTATAGTTCTCTTTGTAGTTTTCTTTTAAAGCGTTCACATTTAACAGGTCAAAGACTTTGTGTTCGACCCTTTTTTATTGGTAGTGTAAAGCTCGAATGAAGAGTACTCCCAGTAGTGCAATCATCGCAATTATTTTCCAAATTTTTTTTTGTTTATAAAAATACCGAATTACGTATCACTGTTAAGCACAAATGCTAAGTAACTTTTACAAATATAATCAAATAAACCTATTACTTACTTTATTTTTAAATCTTTTTCATCAATTAAATACTTATCCTAACTATCTATACTAATATTATAAAGAAGCAAGATTTGTATGTTTGTAACAAATAATCTGTCAAACTACTGAACCGGTTTCAAATATTAATTCAACATAAGGTAGCTACATTATTTATTATAACATTTTTCTTTATTTAAATACATTTTGTCCGAGTGACATAGGCTATATTTTATCCCGATAAATAAATTTCGCCCGTACAATGCCCGGGTGGATCACTAGTAAGTATAATATAATATTATAGATGCGAAAGTGAGTTTGTTTGTTGCGCTTCCGTGCCCTAATAGCTAAACCGAATACAATGAATTACCATATAGAAGTAGATGGGAACTTGGTTCTTAGCTACAACATCGCAATACTTATAGGCGTAGGGTGATGAAAGGGGTGATTTACCTATAAAAATCTATGTAGATTTTTAAATAATGTTATTTACTTTGAATTTTGCAGAATTATTACAAAACCAATATTATCGCGAGCTAATTAATAAATACAGGGATTCCAATAAGTATGTACTTACTAGCGAAAAAAAAATGGTTGCCTGTAAAGTCGGTTTTACGGGCGAAGATTTTACGTGACAACGTCTTTTTCTCGGTAGAATATTTATTGATATGAATATAATTAAATTGCACAATAGGAACAAGGAATTGAATGAAAATAAGAATTGCACAAATTTTAACTATAGAAATATATTTTGTTTACTAAAACATTGTACATGTAAACTTAAACTTAACACGAGAGACTCATCGTAACGTTACCGAGCGTTACACTTTTTCATAAGTGACTCCCAGCCGCAACCTAATTTAAGACGTTGTCACGTCAAAATGGGTTATTTGTCATTATATTAAGTAAACCTTTTTTGTAACATTGAGTAATATCGTTTAAAAAAATGAAAAACAGTAAAATTCTGAGTTTTTCATTAAAATTCAATAATCATAAATACCTATTATTATAATTTTTTTTTTTCATCATTTAATAAGAAGGAACTGTATCACAGTTTTATTGTTAGTACTTCGTATAGGATCAGATACTGCGAATACCCCATTTTTTTTTCTTTTACATAGTACACCGCGCTATCACTTTGTCATCGTTGTAACTTTTTAAATATTTGTCGAAATGACATAGTGTAAAAAGCAAAGTTTATCGTCTTTAAATATCAAAAGCGATAAAAGTATTTGTTTTGATAAAAAATGATTTGTTAATACAAAATGTGCATTTTGGAAATAGATATCTAATAATATTTTAGTTTTGATTCACTATTTTAGCGGTAATGACTTACACATTAAAAATAGATATATAGTGCCACGGACTTTTTTTTAGAACTATTCAAGAGATACATTTTCACTCTATATTACATTCATGTAACTTTTATTGTTTTTGCAGTGCAGGCCAAAATGGCTCGCAGGTGGGAGATTTTTTTCCGTCTTATGTGACACTTATTGTTATATATTGCCCAATTCACTCAATAACTACATAAATTATTATATATATGTAATTATCATATATGAACTATATTACTGTTAAGTTTCATCAAAATCCATTCAGTATTTTTTAAGGTGAAAGAGTAACAAAGATCCATACAAACGTAAGATTGAAATTAAAAGCGTAAGTGGTTAATATACAACTTTAAAGCGTTGTAGATCCTAAACAATCATATAAAATGAAAAATGATGTTAGGAACCTAAATATGATTTTTGATTTTCTAGACAGTGATACCCCACTCGACATATTTAGTCAACTTATTTTTTTTACTTCGTCACAATATGGAGTCTAATTTTGCCCATATTGAATTTTGATTACTATCATATCTTTAGTAGCACTCCCATGATTGAGACGAATCGATTGATGTATAAATCATCAAAATCGGTCCAGGCGTTTGGTCTCTAGTGTGCCACAAAGGAACAAACATACATATATAGACTGTTAAACACATAACCCTGTCTGCGCGTCGCGCTTCGCGCTCTTGCATTGCGCAGCCGGGTAAAAAAGATCTATATAAGTAAAGACTAGGCTGTATGGGGATTGTTCCCTTTGCGTTCTCTAAAAAAGAGAGAAACTTAAAAAAAATGTTGGGTAACACAACAGTGTTGCCAACCGTACGAGAATTCTCGTACAAATACGAGATTTATGGTCTTCCGTACGAGGTACGAGAACACTACACATCTCGTACAACTATGTACGAGATTTTGTCAGATAAACTTGTTGGAACATAAACTGTAAGTATCCAAACCAGTCTCTGTTTGTTATAATTATTATTTTAAGAATTTAACTCCTAGATGTTTGAATCTAAAGGAAAATTTACGGGAAATACATTATTTATTTGCAGTCATTAACTAACATATGGTTAGTTGACCTGTTTGCAAAACGTGTACGAGGTTCGAAAGCAAGATTATATGAGATTTTTAGTTGCATGTATACGAGAAAAAAATATTCTACGGTTGGCAACCCTCTTTCGTAACATTATTGTCAAAGAACTAAGAAGGAAAACATTAAAAAAAAGTGAAGTGAAAGTACATAAATCATGGAACCCAAATCAACGACTTTTGCACTGGAAAATGGCTTGGATTTGAAGTGAGTAGAGTAGTAATAATTTTCGAGGAGTTTGTCCGTAATGGTGATAACCGACTTTAATATTAATATTAAATGACACTCCGCTGTTAAACCCTCTACATTATTTTATTCCGTTTGTACCTCTAAGTAGCTTCCACAATTTTTGAATGGTATGAAACCCTTTTGTGCGAGTTCTCTGTATTTTCTATTCTAAATGGCTTTCTATTTACATGTTTTATTTATCACTTAAATACAAAGGTTATATTTTTACACAGGCAGCTTGTTTCTACTGGGTCAGTCTTACATATAAATGAGGATTATGATGACAACTGTATAGAAGCAGAAAAATCTGAATCAAAACAATTGGATTTTATAGGCCAACCTGTGGCAAACTTTCAAGAATTAGAAAAATCTATGACTCCAGTGGATGAAAATGGATTTGTAAAGAAAAAAGTTGTTGAAGAAGGAGGTGGTCTTCCAGTTTGTGATGGAAATACTGTGTCTGTAGCTTTTTCTGGTTACTGGCAAGATAGTATGGAACCCTTTGATGCTCAAAGCTTGCACAAACCATTGGTATGTATATATTCTGGAAAACTTCTTGAGTAACAACTATAGACACATATTTGTCTGTGGTTTTGCTCAAGAAGTTTGCTGCGACCTATAACATAATAAAAACATCAAAGTATTATGTATAGGTATATATACCAAGTTAAGTAATATTATATGTGTTTCTAAAACACACAGCATGGTTGAAGAAGAAGCATGTAAATTTCTCCGGAACAGGCATATAAAGGTAGGTACCTGTATGTCTTCAGTATAATTAAACAACTAATTATTTCACCCAACAATAAGGCTGAATGGTACATGTCCTGGAATCTATTATTACATTAAAATAAGAGGTTTTCTGTGTTTGTGAAAGCCTTCAACAATTTTCACTGTAGTATCAAAATGTTTCAAGTACCAAGTTAGTAAGTTTTTTAATACCAATCAATATTCGTAATTGTTATTGTGCTCAATCAAGGAGATTAATTTAATACTTTTTTTTGAGTGTGATCAAAGCAAAGTGGATTGCGAATTTTACAGAGCCAGGAAGTAAAAATATCTAACATGGAATTGCAATAGACCTGATCAAGTTAAAAGAGAACTAGATAATTGCAATCGATTATATTCTTATTGACAATATGCATTTTTATATATTTAAATAAAAATGTGAACCCTCATAAGATTTCTAATATCTTCTAGTGATATGTAGTTCTGTTGCTTCACTAGCCTCTGCCGCAGCATGTACTCTTGTTTTTGTTCACTGCTCATATCATGTATCATTATCAAATTTAAACTACAAAAGAAAGTTACTTAAACCTTGAAGACATCTTTTTCTGATAACTTGTTGTATTGACCCATAAGTCATTTTGCAATATGACATTTAGGAAGTAAACAAACACTTAATCATAATTAACAGAGCAAAACAAATTATTTTTCTATTACATATTAAATGCTGATACTTTTTAAAAATTACTTCACATGACAACACCCTAGGTGCTGCTTGAATTTAACTTAAAGGCACTTTTTGAATAAAAAAATTTGATGAAATACCCCAGATTAAGAATTATTTTGGGTATACTGTTGAAATTTCAGGGCCTAGCTGGAAATAATTATTTACATTTTCAGGTTGTGGATTTGAAGGACAATGGTTTATTACCTGGTTTTGAGAGAGCGATTAGATCAATGCTGGTTGGAGAACTTTCAATATTCCTGTTTACTCATGATCTGATGTATGGGGAGATGGGAGTGCCTCCAAGGATAAAGCCTAGAGCTAGGAGTATATTTTATGTGAAGCTATTAAAAAGCATATTTACTGCAAAGGAAGGGTAAATTTCATTATATTATGTAACATAATATTACAAAACTGAAATGCTTTTGTAAATTACATAAAAAAATAATGGCTTACTTAATAATGTATAATAAAATGTTTTTATTGCCTACTCACTTGAAACTGTCCACAGGCATTGCCAAGTATGAATGACGGGTTGTAGATGACTAAATCTAAATGCTTTGTATAATAATGGATTATTATTTTAGTATTACACATGCAAATTAACTGCATCTAACAAATTAATGTTGTTTCAGAAAAATAGACTTCTCTGAACCTAATATGTTTCGAAGAGTACACCATGAAGTTAAGATGTTATACAGTTCAGGAATGACTTTATACAAGACACAAAATTTTCCTGCCGGGCTACAGCTGTTCAGAAAAGCAGTGTTCATGTTGCACAAATGTAGACTAGCAGATGAAACCGAAGAGAAGGTTCAGGAGAAGATGCTTATTAAGTTGTACATGAATCTAGCCATCTGTTATAATAAAACCAAACAGCCTTTAAAGGCATGCACAGCTTGCAATGAACTAAATAGATTAAACAGTTTATGGAACAATGGTAAAGCATTGTTCCAAAATGCTAAAGCTCTAAGAATGATTGGACAATTTGATGCTGCAGAGAATAGATTAAGAAGAGCTATGAAATTGTGTAACAATAAAGATATAGAGGCAGAATTAAAATTGTTGCTGAAAAGCAAAGAAACCTGTAATCAATCAAAAATCTTTGTTAAAAATTTCATTGAAACTAATATAGATCTAGTGACTGATAATTTTAAAAAGGAAGTAGAAAATTTGATAAAGAATTTTAAGGAAAATAATGATTTGTGTAAACTCATAATGCCACAAGGACTTAATTCTTCTGAAGTTGCCTATATTAAAGAAGTTTGTATAAGAGAGAATTTATTCTTTAATAAAATTAAAACTGGTATAAATTGCGATGGAGAAGACTTTCCCCAAAATAAAAATAAGGCAGAAGAGTTCAAAGAAAATTATGCATTGGACAAGTATGAAGATAATTTTAGTAGTACTACAAAAATCTTTTCAGATGAAAATGATTATGATGAACAAGTATTATTTTAATATATAAATTAGCAATTGGTTATATTTTTTTTCATTTAAGACAGTTTTATTTTTATTTATCCATAGTATGTAGTTACGTCTGTTCACTCAACCGGAACGTCAAGTCATCATAACTTGCCTGGCGATGTTGATCCCACCATAACCCGGAGTCAGCATAACATTTTCTAGAAGCCAGACGCTGAATCGACAGACGGAAACTGATAAGCTCAACTCGGGCTGTTAACATGTTCTCTTAGCTTTTGTAAATTAGTTCATAGTTAGTCTTAAGCTGGCAGTTGGAACGAATGAACGTCTCCCTTAAAAATAAATTGTATATTTAAAAGATCCCTCGGCTCGCCCACGTCTTGACTGGCGCACCCGGTAGGATTTCCGCGTCGCGTATAAACACTTAACTTCAGTGTCGCGTCGAACGTTTTCACACGTTTTCTACGGGAATCCAACGAACCAAATAAATAAGTCAAAGACAGCAAGAGCAATTCTGCACGACTCAAGCTCCGGAGGATCGTCGCTTAGACTCAACGAGTGATATGGGCAGTCTGTGAGTAGTAGACCCAAATAGCTATTCCTTTCTTTCCCATTCATTTTCACCCATAATTATAAGTGTCTAGGATAATTTTAAAGGTTATTTCCAGAAATCGAAGTGCTTTTATTCTTTTCTCTTAGAGTTAGATGTAAGTGAAACAAATTGAAATATTACGATAAATAAATCAATTAATTTCACCGAAAATATTTAATATAAAATTAAAATTTTCACGTAATTTTGTTTACGTAATTAAAATAAGTAACTGCTATATTATAAGAAGATATTATTATAAATTTTAGTTTTACCGTTTTCGAAAAATGGATAGAATTGAAAAAATACCCCGAGAAATGTCTAACATTATTCCCATGTTTGGCGGAGATGAAATATTACTTAATTTGTTTATTAGAAAGTGTGAATATCTTATTGCGTGTTGCCGCATAGAAGGAAATCAAGACCAAGATTTATACATTTTTCACGTAATCACTTCTAGATTATCAGGTAGAGCAGCTAATCTTATTAGAGAGCGTCAAGATTTAGATACATGGCCGATATTAAAAATAGCTTTAGAACAACATTTCGGTGATCCACGATCGGAAGAGTGCATAGCAATAGAATTAGAAACTATGAAAATGAACAGTGGCGAATCATATCTTGATTTTTGCAATAGAGTACAGTACGTTAAAAGCACATTGATCGCTAAAGTTAACTTGATTGATGATGCTAGTTTACGCCAAAGTAAAACAACAATTTATGATAATATGTCAATGATTGTATTTTTATATAACTTACCGGAAGATCTTATTCGTATTGTTAGGTTAAAAGGATGTAACTCATTGGAAAAGGCGCTTAGTATTGTGCTTGAGGAAGTTAATTTCCTATACCAGTATAATTCAAAAAATAAAATGATGAAATCACAAAATATTTTTTGGACAAGACCGCAGTTTAGGAACCATAATCCATTTGTAGATAAATTTGGAATGAAGCCTTTCTTAACTCTAACACACGTACAACCACAACAACAATTTAAATTTGGTGTCACTTCACAAAATAATTACCCTAATAATTTTAATAATAATCAGCAACAAAACCAACCTAAATTCAGGTTCGGTATTCCACAAAGCAAACAGATTAAATTGCCTATTTCGCAGCCACAACAATTTGGATATAAACCTCAATTTAACCAAAGTCAAAATCAGATAGGCTATCGACCCCAGTTCAACCAGAACCAGAGTCAATTAGGTTATAAGCAGGATTTTAATCAGGTTCCATAGCAATTTGGTTATCGACCAAATTTCAATTCAGGTCAGCAACAGTTTGGTTACCGACCACCTGTACAAAGACTACCACCACAGCTATCAACGGACGTAAGTATGCGTACGGCTCCTCCTGCGAAACCTCAAGGATTCAGTATGAATGAAGTTTATAATCTTAGCGAATTGGAAATCGTAGAGCCTGATTGTGTGTACAACGATTACGATTATGATAATAAGTGTACTAACGAAAATAACGATATTCCAGAACACTCATTAGTTTCAGAGTGTGTAATTGATTCAAATACTAATGATTCTTTCCAAAATGTTGAAAATTTTCACATAGGTATCTCCAAATAAAATTACCTTACGTAAATATTCCTGAGATAAATGCAAAACTAATTGTATACACAGGAAGTTCAAGGTCTTTCATTAGTCCACGAAAAGCAAATGAATATTTAAATAATTATAAACAGTATGAACCTTTTGAAGTCATCAGCACACATGCCTCCAGCAAGCATGATGAAGTTATTATAATACCGCTATTTCCATCATTTAATAATCCTGGAACACACAAATTTTACGTATATGACGTAGATGGTCGTTATGATGGGCTTATAGGAAGCGATCTTCTGAAACAATTAGGTGCTATAATCGACATAGAAAATCAAATTCTTTTTACAAATTCCTCGTCTATCCCTATTGTATATAACCCTACTAACGAAATAAAAGTAGCTCCGCGTTGCGAACAAAGAGTTAGGTTACCAACTAATCTAGAAACCGGAGAAGCTATAATGAACTATAAATTATCTTGTGAAGGTGTGCGAATGCCAGACGCTCTGGTAACTTGTAAAAATGGTTTGAAACTCGATGATGACAAAATTTAAGCCGTTTTAGAACACCTTTGCCTCGTACAACTACAGAAATAAAGAGCTTTCTAGGACTCATTGGTTATTACCGCCGATTTATAAAAGATTTCGCAAAAATTACTCAACCGATGACAGTTCGACTTAAGAAAAAGAGTGTAAAACCTATTGATGACGGAAAATATATTGCTGCTTTCCAGAAATGTAAAGAATAACTTGTGGGCATTCACAACCCCATACTTCAATATCCTGACCCTAACAGACCGTACATACTGACAACAGACGCTTCAGAGTTTACCCTCGGTGCAATATTGTCCCAAGGCACAATCGGTAGCGACAAGCCTGTTGCGTATGCTAGCCGTTCACTTAACGATGCCGAGACTGGGTACAGTGTAACCGAAAAGGAATTACTCGCCATAGTTTGGACAGTAAAACACTCCGTGGTAAAACACTTCCGCCCTTACCTCTATGGTAAGAAATTCACTATCGTGACTGCGGGTCAATTATGCTTTAGTGATATAATCATAATGTGATGTCAATATGATGTTGATGCCAACTTGACATTGTTTTTAAATTGGTATTATGAAACATTCCTATGTCACATCAAGATCATATCAATATCATATCCTGTATCACATTTTTGACGATTATGCGATACTGTTTTAAGTCAAAAAGTTGAACGTAATACGCATTTAAGTTGATATCATTTTAAAGAGTTGATCATAATAGGTACGTATAAGTTGATGTCATTTTGATATCGCATTTTTCGGAGAGCATAATACGTAATGTGAAATTGACATCAAAACAATATCACAATTAGCGAGCATAATTGGCCTGCAGACCACAAGCCTCTTGCTTGGCTAAACACCATGAAGGAAACAAACAGTAGACATTCCTTACCCGTTGGCGCTTACGACTATCTGAATATAACTTTGATATTGTTCATAAAAGTGGTAAACAGAACAGCAACGCTGATGCCTTATCACGTATACGAACTTTTGTAAATCTATTATCATTGTTACCCAGAGCATTAAGCTCTGGGTAACAATAATAATAGATTTACAAAAGTTAATGTTGACAAAGACGAGAATAGAAATATGTATATAAAAGAGCTTACTAAAGAAATATAAAAATTAGGTAAAGACCAAAATCTAACGTTAAACCAACAAATTGAAACAATGTCTATTTCAGATTTCTGATTCGGGAAAAACAGTTGTAATTTCAGATTCAGAAAGATCAATAACAGCTGACCCTAAGTCCCCTTACTCTATACCATGCCCTTCAAGTTCAACATTGACCGCGTCAAGTAAATCGAATAGTGATACCGCCCATTCAGGGAAGGACACTGAATCTCAAGGTATTCCAATTTTACACGAAGCCATAGATTCTAAACAAAATTTTCCTGCCGGGCTACGGCTGTTAAGAAAAGCAGTGTTCATGTTGCACAAATGTAGACTAGCAGATGAAACCGAAGAGAAGGTTCAGGAGAAGATGCTTATTAAGTTGTACATGAATCTAGCCATCTGTTATAATAAAACCAAACAACCTTTAAAGGCATGCACAGCTTGCAATGAACTAAATAGATTAAACAGTTTATGGAACAATGGTAAAGCATTGTTCCAAAATGCAAAAGCTCTAAGAATGATTGGACAATTTGATGCTGCAGAGAAAAGATTGAGAAGAGCTAGGAAATTGTGTAACAATAAAGATATAGAGGCAGAATTAAAATTGTTGCTGAAAAGCAAAGAAACCTGTAATCAATCAAAAATCTTTGTTAAAAATTTCATTGAAACTAATATAGATCTAGTGACTGATAATTTTAAAAAGGAAGGAAAGGAAGCCATAGATTCTAAATCAAATCAGATTTTAGTATACAGTTGGCTAATCGATAAATTATCTGTAAAAAAAATATCTAGAGAAAAACAAAGAGTTTTAGAAGTACACTTACCCGTAAACAGACCGGATCTTGTAAAACAATTTCTAAAAGAATACATTAGAAATAATGTAAAATATTTCATATACTTTGAGGACGACAGACATAAACGACAATTTACTGAAATGGTAATATTTCTATTTAAAAAGGAACAAGTACAATTTTTCGAATGCACCAAAAGAGTAGTATTTGTAGATGACGAATTTGAACAAAAGAACATAGTAGAAAAGTATCATATTGGTAAAACCTATCACCGTGGTATTAGAGAAACTCTAACCCACATTAAACGTACTTACTTTTGGCACAATATGGAACAAACCATATCCAGCTTCATAAATGCCTGTGAGGCTTGTAGGAAAATGAAATACGAGTATGATAGAAAACCAATAAAACCCAGACTTCAGATGACACAAACACAGACTAAACCGTTACAAGAAATTTTTATGGACTTTTTTTCAATCGAAGGACGTTATTACCTGACAATAATTGACGCATTTAATAAAATGGGTCAAGCATTTGAAATTCCTAACCGCTCAACCCCGGAAGTAGTTAGAGCCCTTATTAAATATTTCTCTTTTTATGGTATTCCTCTTAAAATTAGTTCAGACCCAGGCTCAGAATTCAACAATGCCCTCTTGAAAGAACTTCTTTCGCTATATAAAGTAGATCTTCACATAGGTACACCTAATAATCCAAATTCCATGGGTCTCATAGAAAGATTCCACTCTACAATAATAGAAATCTACCGACTAGCAAAGTATGAACAAAAGTATACTGATGCTGCTTCCATAATGACATACGCTATTATGGCTTATAAACATTCCATCCATTCAACCACAAATTTAACACCTTTCGAAGTTTTGTTAGGACATACAGACTCTAGACATGCATTCGACATGGACTTTGAAAAGGAGTACATGCAACAATTAGTGAAAGAACACCTTAAAAGAACAAAATTCTTAAGTTTACTAGAAAAAAAAACATCTAGCAGTTAAATGCTTAAAAAATAAATAAAAAATAACAAAATTCTTATTCAAACACATAGCCGACCAAGCAATTAAAATAAAGCAGAAAATAATAGAGAAAAGAGGTGGAGAGACTGAATTTAATATCCAACCTGGTGAATAATCTTTGCTAAAGATACCAATAGGCGAAGTAGCAAAGATAAGGCCCGTTATCATAAATCTTAAGTTACTGAAGAGGCTACTAGAAAAATAGTCTCCATTCAAATAAAAACCCGCGATACTAAGGTTCCATTAAAGAATGTTAAACATCCTCCACAGGCACGTCCTCGTCCTCCTGGTGGCGTCTATGACGACTCGACTCTGCAAGCAAGAATTGAATAGGAATCCCGGAATTTTGCCCCTAAGAAATGGAGTTGCCGTGCTTAGCAAAGACAAATGGATAATCGCTAAGGTATTGGACTTCACGCCTATTAGAGAAGACCTGAAGTTCAACATCGATCGACTCACTGAATTAGATAAGTTAGTTAAGGCTAAATTTAGCACAACGTTTATAAATAATTTTGTAGATATAAGAAAACAAGTAGGATATGAAAACAATTACATCCAATAAGCTTCAACAAATTGTGCCATCCATTAGAGTCAAACGAGGTTTAATAAATCCTCTTGGATCAATAATTAAGATAATTATAGGAAATCTCGATCATGATGATGCCATAAGATACGATAAATTATTAAAAGATGTAAAATCAAAGCAAAACTCAAACAACAGAAAATTGACGTTGATCACTGAAACTGTACAAGTTTTAACAAATTCCACATTACAGTTAAATAGCAATCTTATAAAATTAAACAAAGAAATTGTAGATGTAGCTAAAAATTTAAGTAAAGAGTTATGGAAAGAACACTTTGAAGTACAGATTATAAATACATATAATATACTACTCCACAACTTTCAGGTAATACATACTAAACTAAATGAAATAGGCTAGTTGACCCTTTTTGGAAAAAGGTTGTAAATGGTTAATTAATGTTCTAGCAGACCGAAAAAAAAAGTATTGTATTTTTTTGAGACCTAGAAAGCTACAAATCTTTAATTTTGAAATAGAATTTTCATGGGCATACAAAAACGCTGTCGGCCATTTTAGTATATGCATTGTCTATGCTATGATGTCAACTGTAGTAAACAAAAACTCGTAAGCACGTAGAAAATAACTTATCTGAGTTTACAATATAAAGAACATGATTTCTAATAAATACCACGAAAAATAAAGTATTTATCATTATTGTATTGTACGAGAATATAAAAACACATCCTTGAAGACTCCAGGAATGTTGTGGATTAAAGTGCCGAAAGAAATTAACCTACGCAACTTTATTACACTTATTCATATGTTGTATCAGTTTTATGTTTATTACTACATTGTAATAATAAATGCACTGTACTTACATAGATGCCTTGTCGTTTCGTTTAGTGCAAAAAATTCACTACCATCAATGCGCCAATTCTTGGCAGCTTTCTGCTTTCACAAAGTCGGCATCCATAATAAATTACTTTTGTCAAAAAAAAACAGTAAACGGAAACGTTTCTAAAGTTAAAAGTGTTTTAAGATAAATTTATTCAGACTAAAGAATCCACCCACAATAACACGTGAATGACATTTAATTGTTTACTGAAAGAGACGTCACAATCATGGCGGATGTGGCGAACAGCGTTTTTAGTGTTTAAAAAATATAGACTAAAAAATATTTTTTTAAATTAAATTTCTACAGCAATCTTCTGCTTTTATGAAGTGAACTCGATATATTTAGGTTCCTTAGACCAAATACTGTAAGAAATAAACATTTATTTAATACAATTCGACATGAGTCAACTAGCCTATTGAGACTAGCTTCGCGCTAAGTAGATTAGATATATTACATCAGTATGTTATAGAATCTAACAAACTTTTAAACGTTTTAGAAGACGTCAATAAAATAGAAAAGTTAGTTTATACCACTAGCATAGCAAATTTAGTAAAGATAGAACAAAGCATTACAATAAAAGCCTATTTTAAGGAAAGTCAGATTACTTATCTTCTGGAAATACCGTTAATTGAACAAGACACTTATATCTATTATAAATTGATTCCCATACCTGTTTTATCCCGTAAATCCACCGTAGTTATTATACCCAAATATCCTTACCTTCTGGTGAAAGGGTCGAAGATCACACTGCTGGACCAACCATGCCGAGAAATCGACGAGCACAGTTTCCTCTGCCCCAGTGATGTAACTCACCAATTCGCTCAGGATCCCTGCATTAAGGACCTGATAACATATGTTGAGAACGTAACTTCATGTATCCAGGTTCCAGTCATCATAGAAAACGTTAAAGTTCAGTTCTTGCAACCCAACAGATGGATTCTCTACAGTAGAAATGAAGAATTGCTTACCAGTAACTGCATTGGTGAAATATACCGGCAAAAGTTTCGAGGTACATTCATACTCACCCTGGACGATCCAAGTGAAGTAAAGATTTCAGACATAACCCTGAAAATGCATCAGATAAATACAGAAAATATAACGTATGTGAAATTACCGATAATGAACTTACCTGCAGTATACTTGCCTGATGAAAAACCAGCTGCAGAACCCCTAGACCTGAAAGGCGTTGACCTAAAAGACTTGAAACTTCTATCATTCACCATGAAGAAGAGTGTTAGTGAAAGACGTGAATGTGAAAAGTCAATTATTGAAGTGAACAGTGTAAGCGTTTGGACACTGATTTTTTATCTTATAACTTTTGTATTACTCTGTATCTTAGTTCATAAGTATCGTTTGAAATTGCTTGAATTATGTAATCGAAGTTCCCCTAAGAAGCGAACTTCCATCTTAAGGAGGGAAGAGTTACGTCTGTTGACTCAACCGGAACGTCAAGTCATCATAACTTGCCTGGCGATGTTGATCCCACCATAACCCGGAGTCAGCATAACATTTTCTAGAAGTCAGACGCTGAATCGACAGACGGAAACTGATAAGCTCAACTCGGGCTGTCAACAACATGTTCTCTTAGCTTTTGTAAATTAGTTCATAGTTAGTCTTAAGCTGGCAGTTGGAACGAATAAACGTCTCCATTAAAAATAAATTGTATTTTTAAAAGATCCTTCGGCTCGCCCACGTCTTGACTATGTGACCAATCAAATACATCCATAGGACTTCTCAAAAGCATTCGATTCGGTGAGGTGGCCAGTACTTTGGGAGACTCTTCTGGACATTGGAACACCAAAACACCTTGTTCACCTTTTGAGAGGACTATACGAAGACGGAACAGCCTCAGTTAGAGCAGACGACATTTTATCGGACCAGTTCCACCCCAGTGTCGGAGTCCGACAAGGTTATATTGTTTCCGATACTGTTTAATACCTACACAGAACTCATTATGAGAATAACACTCGAGATTTGTTCAGGCGGAATCAGTATTGGAGGCTATAAGACTTGCAATATGAGGTATGCGGATGACACACTGTTTGCAACAAGCACCAGTAACATGGAATTTTTCATAAGCAAAATGGAGCAAGTTAGTCGTGATTTTGGCCTGAAAATAAATCTTAGTAAAACCAAGATTATGATGAACTCGCCAGAAGTCACTTAAATCGAGAACTGCGATGTCGTACAGTTATAAGTCTACCTTGGAGCACTGATTTTGGGCAACGGTGGATGTGCAGATGAAGTCAAGCGGTGCAAGGCAATCAGGAGTCAGCTATGGACAAACTTCAAAAAATATGGAGAAACGGGAACATCACAAAAGCCACGAAAACACGACTCAGGGCATAAGTGTCCATATTCCTCTATGGTGCTGAGACGTGGACCTTGCGAGAGAGTGAGAAAAAGAAGATAGACGCTCTAGAAATGTGGTGCTGGAGGAAAATGCTTGGCATACAGTGGACACAATTCCGAACCAATGCATCCATCCTCCAGGAACTGTCTATCAAACAACGTCTTTCTTCCATCCTACAAGATCGTATTCTAACTTTTTTTGGTCACATCTCACGCCGAGATGATGCGTCAGTAGAACGACTGGTGGTGCAGGGCAAAATCGAAGGCGTAAGGTCGCGCGGCAGATCACCAATGCGCTGGACCGATCAGATAAAAGCGGCACTGAACGGTCCACTTTACGAGTCCACGAGAAAGGCCGCAGTGCGGAAGAAATGGCGGCGTATTGTGAGGTGTGCCACCAACCCTGATGTGACGACCACGACCATTCTGTTGTAACCCCGAAGAAGAACTACGTGAAGGGACAGACATCAAGTAGTCAAGCTATCCAGAATTGTTTTTTTTTACTTAGAGGTTTATTTAGTTTGATACAAGATTCACTAGTGATTTTTTAAAATTTAACATTGATGGGGTGCCAACCGATTGTATCTGAGGTCCAAGCACGAATTTTGACAGCTCCGTAATCGTATTGTCATCTTCAAAATTTGTATGGAAAAACCTAGTTTGATCTTCCGTCCGATAGGGACGTTGCTTAGTTTTCATAGAAACTGACGATGCGATACGATTACGGAGCTGTCAAAATTCGTGCTTGGGCCTCTGATGCTTAGGTAAGCAAAAAGGCCGGTGCTGACTGACGTCGCGGCAAGGCAAGCAAGACGAAGAATACTGTGATAAGTATGTTTCGGCATTACGTAGAAAGCCCCACTCAAGAGCCTGCTGAAGTCACCGCCGCCGCGCCCGTTCAAACCTTATATCAATTAGTTTAGCATTCTTATTAATTTAACGTTTATAAGTGACCACGAGGAGCCGGTTGGCGCAAGTGGTTAGCCAGTTCGGTATGCGATCTTGGAAGTTAAGCAACTTTTGCAATGACCAGTTCTCGGATGGGTGACCAAAAATTTAAAAACTCAAGCACCATCGCGCTTTGCAAGGCACGTTGAACCGTTGCTCCCGGCTTCCAGATTCATTCGTTAGCACCCAATAATCGGCACTGGACCCGCATGGGTGCTCATGGCCCAATCTCCCTATCCATCCATAGGGAAGGCATGTGCCCCAGCCAGCAGTGGGAATATCAATAGGCTGATGATGTTGAAGAAGTAACCTAACGGAATGCGGTGTCGTGCCGAAGCTACCTGTGGAATGAAACTACATTACGCGTAGCTTGGGTCTCATTGTATAGAAATAGTGCAAATGAATATTAAACTATTAAGACTAAATTCCCCCCTAGCATGAGCATCGCGATTTGAGCAAGTTTAACAGTGAAATGCGATGAAAAACGCGATATAACGTAAATTTTGGTGCTTATGCAACGGGGGACTGGTATATTTATTAAGTATGTAGATAAAGAGTGAGAAAGTGCTCGCCGCGTTGTCGCTGCCAGTAGGCACTAGTGTTTTTTTTGACCAAATAAAAATCCCTCTTCTGTCACTGTAATTGATCAAGGGACACACTTCAAATATACGAGTAAAATACCCAAGTGTCTATCTTAAATACTTTTTTTTTATAAAAATCATGAACTTTACGTGACCCCATCATGAAAAAATGATAAAATAAATTCTGGAAGCGTGACCGACAACGATACTTATTTTAAATAAATATAATTTTACAGAATACGCGTCAGGTGCGGGTTTTGAAACTAAGTATTCGAAATTGAGGTCTCAAAACGGCGTAATATTTAATTTGTGGTTTTTATTACTTTTCTTCAAAAGTGCGACCTGCGACTATAAGGATAATAGCTTATAATAAGGTCTATCACTAATAAAAATACCAATTCGCATTATTGCGGTTTTTAGGACAAATAAAATTTCACATCGTTAGGGTTGGCACTTTATCATGCAAAGTTCATATTTTTTTATAAAAAAAAACATAGACACGTGGGTGTTCAACTCGTAGGTTTTAAACGTGTCCCTTGATTAATTACAGTGATAAACAGAAGGGAATATTTTTTGGGCCAAACAAACGCTGTGAATTCACTCTTAATCCAGTCATTTCACCTCGGAATGATATAATAAGCTAGAAAATTGAATACGCCTTTGGTGTTCTTACGACATGTACCGAGCATTTTAAAATTTAATTATTTTAGACTGCACTGACACCAACACTACTGGATCGATTATGTTGATATTTGGTATAAAGGTAGATTGGACCCTGGAGACGGTTATAGACTACTTTTTATATTGACAAAAAAACTGGAATGCGGTATGATGGGGGGTGAAATTTTATATGCGAAATCACACAAGCAAAGTCGCAGGCGAATAATGTAAAATTGTGACCAGTGGTTCTGACGCCAGTGGTTCTCGTAGTATACGCAATGTTTAAATTTCTTTCATATGCCAATAATTGCTTCTTATTCTTAAACCCTAGGAACTTTTAATCTCATAAACACATTTCTTTAATCTGAAAGTAAAAACTTGTACCAATTTAAAACAAAAAAGATAATAATTACAGGCTTTTTCAATCTCGTAAAATGAGTCGGATAATGTTTCTGATTATCAGTATATTTACTAAGTAGTTTACAAATTACAAAGTAAACATCCCAATGCAACAAAATTAAAGTTTAATGGATAATTACAATTCTTTATATAACTATTCAAAGACTACAATCTATTTTGTGGATCCAACCTTAGTCTCTCCAAAATGCAACATACTTAAAATATTGTTATGAAAATTCAAATGCAACTATACAGACGACCGACCACTAGTTTATCCGATGTGGATGGATGATAAAGCAATTGAGACAGTATCTTAAACAATTTATGGCATTTAGTTATGTGTTGGAAGATTTAAAAGCACATTTTGACCCGCCGGTAGGTAAGTGATGTTGCGGGACTTAGATAATTGGTATGCAATGTCTTCGGCGGCTTCGATTCGACGTAATTCAACCAGACCCTCTCCCGCAGTGCCAAATGACTTTGCAAGTAATATGGCTGCCTGGGCATCGCCTTCAGCAGCTATGACAGCTGCTTTTTTCTGCTGTTCTGCTTTCTCTACAAGGAATCTGGCTTTTTCAGCGTCTTGTTGTGCTACTTGTTTCAATTCAACGGCTTGCGTAAATTCTTTACCAAATGTAAGATGTGTGATTGAAATGTCATCAAGGATAAGACCAAATTGACCTGCTCTTTCTGTCAAACTTTCACTAACCTTTTGTGATACAATCTGAAAAGATATTTTTTTGGATTAATTTCAGGGGCAATGTGTTACAAATTCTTTAGTATTGAGTAGTTGTTTTTTAAACGCAAAAGCACAAAGACAGTACTTAATATATACGTAAAAAAAACATTGGTTAAGACACAGAGGTGGCGCTGATAATCTGTTGTTAGAAAAATCTTCAATCAAATTCCATCCTCAAACTTCAAAGCTCCTCGTCTACAAAGGGCTATGATGTTCAGAAGAAACGTTCCCTTCCCTCAACAGATATGAAACAAGTGTCATTTGAAGCATTTACTAGTAGGATATAAAATTTCTTAGTATGGCGACTTACTAAAATATATGAGATTTAAGTTTTATAAAATACTTTTATTTGCTTACTTGTCTATATTTTACTGTGCATAAAAAAGTAATCTAATATGAACCTCTTATTGTTTTTATATAACAAGATAGGTTTTATTTTACCAAAACTATAAAAAAACTACCTCATCTAGGGAGATATAGATCTAGTACTATTATAACCTCCCAATAATAATAGTAAATCCTTATATTACAACGCACATCTTTTTATTACGTGCATTTAAAAAAACCGGCAGGATTTCTGACTAAGAAACTTATATGGTGATGAAGTATTCCTTTTCTCGTTAAGGAGCTATCATATTTAGCTTGACAAATCTTACTGCGCTGTGATCTACACGATGGCCTTTATGCTTAGATTAAAATAAAAAGGGTAGATACGGTACGTTCTGACAAGCGTCTAACTAAATATGCTCCGACTCAACTACTTAAGCAACTCTCATACACGCACATAACTATAGTAATATTATAAAGAGGAAAGATTTTATTGTTTGTTTGTATTGAATAGGCTCCGAAACTACTGGACCGATGTGAAAAATTCTTTCACGTTTAGAATCCTACATTATCCCTGATGAACATAGGCTATAGAGTATTTTCAAAAAAGTTAGGGTTATGAAAACTTCGATAATGATGAAATGTATCCCAGGGTGTGAAAAAAATAGCAAGAAATAACCTTACATTGCTTACGCTGCGGAAGTCATTGGCAGTAGAGCAAAGTGATGTACTAAAGTTACCACATGTCTAACTATTAGAGTTATGTCACAACTAAAGGTCCCCTGCGGTTTTACCCGTGTTAATTGAGGAAAAAGGTTGTAGTGAGTCAAACTTAAAAGATGGGCATATGCTGTCGCGGACTTTTTTTTAGAGAACTGTTAAAAGGGAACAATTATTCTGCCAGACATGGTATATATGTATCATTTACGCAGCGTACGCAAAGAAAGCTCACAAATGAAATATTTTTACCCGTTTTTGCAACATTTTTCACGAAACAAATATGGCCGAATCATACTTATGAAACTCTACGCCACGCCACGCGTGTTATTCATGTACTAATTTATTTGAGGAGAATCACATGAGAATCCGAAGCGATAATTAGTGCAATAATTATGAGTGATAAAAGTGATGGGTGTGTACGTTTGTACACTTCGTCACTAGATACATTTTATAATAAGGGCATAGACCAATGGTAAGGAGGACACTCTTTTTTTAATAGTAGAGCAATGGTGCATTTTGTACAACGGGTCCTAAACTATGCAACAAAATTTTCACAATCAGTTAATTTTTTCACGCTAGGTTTATAATTATATGAAGAAAGTCAGTGTTTTAATACAAGCCTAAGAACAAACACTATAGTCTACACCGAAGCGAAGCGAGGGCGGGCCACTAGTCTATAAATAAACATTTAATCGAGCGAGCGAGACAGAACGGTACGCTTCAAGCAGCGTGAGCGAGTCGACGAGTCCGCGTCGCTCTTTCTCTCTACAAACGGCTGAGTTGCATTGTTGTCCTTTTCTGGATTGTTATCCAATGGTAAATTTAAGCGAATAACATGCATAACAAACAGTTGTTTTTGGGACTATTTTTTTTAATATAAGGAATGAAAAGTGATGCCGTGGTATTTGTTAACTATTCTTGATCAATTTATGCATTTTTTTTAAATCATCGAAGGCCGGTGGGGGCAGATGTTTGTGTGATGAATACAAGCATTTCTACTCCAGTCATGGATGTTTAATATGTATTTCATATAAATATACTTATATATGTACAATTGTACAATATATGTATTCTATCCGTTACCCTAGTATCCCATAACACAAGCCTTTACAGTGGTTACTGGGGCTAGGCTAATTGGTGTGTGTTGGATTTTTTTTTTTTTTTTATTTATTTAAACTTTTCAACACAGAATATCCGCGCTATTGTTTAATGAGTGCACGTGCGGCGTGATTGCGACTAAAGCGAATTGTGTTCATGCACCTAATTTAAACGGTACACTTTTGAGACGCAAGTGTCTTATCTTCCCTTTTTGATTTAGTCTTAGCCTTTATGATAATAAATAGAGATGGGCAGACTAGTCGGGAAGCACAACTATTCGGCATCATTTAAAGTGGGCGACTATTTGGCAAAACATGCCTATAATCGGCACATAACATATGAAATAAAACTCAAAACTCATGCTTGTTTTTTCATATTTAACCAGTACCTACCTAGAGCAGTAACCTTAAGTGTTAGCGAGTGTTAAAGAAGTCCATTTTTTTATTAGAGGCAAGTCGTAGTGTAGTAGTATTGTCATTGTTTCGGCTCGATTTGGGAGTAGGTGATTTCTTTTTGTCAAAGCGAATGAAAATGTAGGTAAAAAAAACACCTCAAAACATGCTCAGTGGCAGCGCAATGACTCGTGTGATGCTTGAGAGCAAGCCGGGTAATGACGAAATATTCCGATAGCCTTCCCCAAGATAGGTATTAGAATGATCGGCATTGCCGAATAGTCAGCTGACTTGACGGCACTTTGCAAAGCGATTAATTGGTTAGTCGGCATATACTGTAGTCGGCCCATCTCTAATAATAAACTATTATCATGATAAAGGGTTTAACGATTTACCGTGATGCAATAGGTATCTTTCTAAGTAATGCTTGGCCAGTTAACAAAGCACTTATTCAGTCACGCCATCCCGATCACGCAATGATTATATTTAAAGAAATCGTATCAATTTCCCAACTAAAATAGCTATTTTGTCTTTTTGTAGGTTTCTGCTTTAGGGTGGGGACAACGGGGTCCATGCAAAACCGGCATGGTCCTTTCAAGTAATTTTTAGGGATGCAACGATACTAATACGATAGTCGTATATCGGAGATTATCGTAAGTTTTTAGTTCGTTTATATGTGGGTTAAAATCAGCGTTGCCAGACGTCCCTATTTTTAAATCAAAATTAAATGTCCCGCGCGGGACAGGTTCAATCCTGCTTTTCGGGAATAACTCGACCGTGCGTGCAGTGTACTAAAGTGTGGACTGGCCACCTTCCCGGCGCGTAATGAAGAATTCTCAAACAAAGACTCAACTATTTCACTATAGGGTAAATCTGATTTAAAATATTATATTTTTATTCAAATACATTTTCTATGGATATTTTTACTAGGTACCTATCTATTGTCACGTAAACGTAATTTAAACTCAAATAAAAAGATAAATATTAAAAAACTTTTGATTATATACGTTTTTTTTACTATGTCCCGCTTTTTTCACTCAAGTTCCTAAATCCTGTCTTGGAAAAAAAAAACTGGCAACACTGGTTAAAATCTCGACTTTATTGATTTTATAACATTCTCTTCTAGCTTACGTACAAGTCCTTACTTAAATTAACCTGCTTCCTTGATCAATTTAATTTGTGTGGCCATAAGAAATGTTCCCACAACATGTCTGTTATAAGCATAAGTAAGGAAGCAGTTTAATTTGTGTGGCCATAAGAAATGCTTGGACAGTTTATATTGTCTCATGGTATTTTTGTGCTCTGTGAAACCATGATGTATGAAGGTGCTTGATAAATATTGGACTTACTTCTCTTTGTGTGATAAGTTCCCCGGCATCAAACTGAGCAACTACTGCTTTCAGTACTTCAGATGTGATGGATGGCAGCACTCTTTCATCATAGTCTATACCTAAGATTGTGTAGATCCTGGGCAGCTGGTCTGGTACAGGTCTGAATAGGATGCGGAGTGTAATGTTAACATTCTGAAGATCTGTAATCATTTATAAACATTACTTAGAAGGTAACACAGTTTAAAAACTAAAATTAAGAGTTTAATAAAGCATAAGAATTAAATGACCTCCAAATGTGGTGGAAAGGAAAAAAATAAAAAAACAAAGAATGCCACTAGTGTGAGGAAGAAAGCAAATAACTTGTTAGTCCTATCTATAAAAAAAATATTATATCTCATGCGAACAGCTGGTTATAGTTGTATTTAAAATCTAAAAGCTGCTTATATGTATGAAAGATTTCAATTTCACAGTAAGGAATCTTTATAATATCACTTGGTGACAAGTAAAAATATAAATGCAAATGTTAAACCGAGACAATTCTCAAAAGTTAATGCAAATTAGATGGACAGAAAAAATCTCTAGTGCATTGATTTCAACATAATTGCTATAATATCTTAAGATTACTAATTATTTATTCCCAAATCTCTGCTTAAATCTTAATTATCTTTCTAAAATATCTTGTGTGGTAGGGTGGAGTAAATAGCTCCAATCTATTTTATATACTTAAAAAATTCAGAACCAGCTTGAAGACGGAAACAGAATTTGAGGCTGTCACAAAATTACAAATTTTTACATGTTGATTGGGATTTTTGACAGTTTATATATACTATAGTTTGAAAAGCTGTTACAAACTAAAATGTTGACACCTAGTTGCATATGTACACAATCAAAAATAACTATGGCCATTAAAATATGCAAATATGAAAAATAGTATTGTAACCTTTGCTTCCTGTAACTGTGGGAACATTTCGAGGTCTTGATCTAATATCAAAGATGATGGGCTTCTGAACCCAGGGAACGAAAAAATGGGTTCCTTCACCAACTACTAAGTTCTTCACACCTGCAAATCTGTCAAATATGACAGCTCTGTGTCCACCATCAACTGTAATCCACAGAAATATTATGAAATTAATTATTTCTTTAGTGTAGATAACAAAAAGTATTATCACATGTACACTCTACACGATTTAAACAGTATTTATTGAATACAATAAATTCAAACTGGAATTGCTATACAAGTAAATAGATAACACAGGTTGATGTTAATTTCATATTTACCATTGTACAATGCAGAATTTACTACACCACCAACAAGTGCAACACCCAGACCAACTTGCCCGATCCGGTTAAACAACTGCGCTGCCATTTCTAAAAGCCGGGATAGAAGCATCAAGTTTTAGGTTATTATGAAGTTCATTAATTAATTCCATTTATAACAAATGTTTACATCTAGTATGAATATTTGATAAGAAGGATACAGTGGAACTGGTGCTTTGAACAATAAAATGCATAAAGCCTACCCTAAACAAATTATTGCATGATCAGTCCTAACCTAAAAGTGTTATGCGATTGCAATGTTTTATAACAATAAATAAATACTTTTTTACTTTACCTAGAACTTTTGGTTTCGATCTAATAAAAAGTTACTTGTAAATATGAAATAAAAACTACTTCCAAAGCTAAAATTGAAATTGGGGAGAGCAATCAGGTATGGCCAAAGACAATCTTTTACTTCTTAAATTCTATCCATTTGACACAGTGTGACCAGATTAAATTTTACGAAAATACCGAGGCACCTCAAAAAAATACTGAAATATACCGACTTACATAGGACAGATATACCAATAAAAATACTGATTTTCTTAACACGTTTTATTTATTCATACGTACTCACAATAAATGTTAGAGTTATATTTTAACATCCTTTTCGAAGGATTAAAATTTACACAACCTCCTTCATTTCTTCACGCTCTATCTAATAGTGCAAACCGCATTAAAATCGGTTCAGCAGTTGTAAAGTTTTAGGCGAACATACATTCTGCAAGTCTGATTAATACTACGTATTAATTGATAATTGTATATGTAGTATTACAATACTACAACGCCGACAACGGCCGTCTTTCTTGTCATATCTGTAACTTACTCATAGATAACATGTATAAGTATAGGTAAACTAAATCCGGGGAAGTCCCCAATTTTCACGTTCCGGGGAATTCCGCAAACATTGTCGCAAAGACGATCACTCACTACGGTGTTGCCATAACTTCTACCAAAATATACCCGAAAATACTGACTGCCAGCAATATACCTGAAAATATACTGATGTTCGGAAAAATCGATGAAATATACTGAAAAAGTATTAAAATACTGAATCTGGTCACACTGATTTGACATTTAAACTTTGACAGATGGCATGACTTCGGGTGTATTCCGAAATATATATCTGTACCCCTAGCACGAACCAAAATCGAATTCGTAACGTTTACGAGTCCGAAATGTCATTGTCAAATGTGTACTGATCTTTAGTTCCCGTTACGTCCAAAGTGGCGCTGCTGTTCAAGTTTCCATACAAAATTTGACACTGATGTTTCGGTTTGCAAACTATTCTAATTCGATAATGGTTCGTGCTAGCGGAACGGTACTGGCCAGTGGTAATGACGTCGAATCCGACGCCATATTATACTGGTATGCTACCTTAATTTTACAGGGAAAACTAATATGAAATATGACCGAGCGTGCGTGAGGGACGGAAGTGTGTAACAGGAAGTCGCGAAACCGCGCGCTATTTGATTTGATTTTAGAACATAATGTTCGAATGGCTTATTCCTTTTGTAGTAGGTTTTTTTTTTAACTAATAAGGTGAAGTTTCCAATGTTACACATCATACGCGACTACTGTAAGGCTCACTCGTTTTTTTATTTAAAGAACAATAATGGCATCCGAATAAAAAGAATTCCTATTAATTGATGAGGTGAATAAAAAATCTTCTTTGTTCGCACAATTTTTAATATTTCGTCGATTTGTGACGTCAGTGCACTGGCCAGTATATTTCGGAACAATTCACCAGTATAGCGTCAATTCATGACGTCATTGGCACAGGCCAGTATACTGGTATACATTACGGAATACACCATTCATGGACTTTGAGCCTATGAGTACGGCGTACGGCCATAGTGCACACAGATTCAGAATCAGATTCAGACTCAGGGTACGGCCACAGTGCACGCTGGTTCAGAATCAGATTCAGACTCAGAAAACAAGTGCGAGAAATAAACGGTGGTGTCGATTCTAGGATGATTCTCTAAACCTAAACTTAAATTTGACAGTAGTATATCCTTGTCATTATCTATACCGAATGAATAGGAGAGACTGATGTTAAATTTAGTTTTAAGTTTAGAGAATCACGCCAGAATTGGCACCAGTGTAGTTTAAGCAGGGTGGCCATAGTGGCAGCAGGCAACTGGTTGCCCGCGCTGGTTTCGGAGTCAGGCACTTTACCGGAATATTTAGCGCCGCTTGGACTGCAGGTAGGGTTAATAATAATAATAATAGTTTATTTTTTCAAAAAGATAATGATTACATAGGGTTGCTAACCCTACTATAAAATATATTATCCTACTACCTATATTAGGGATCAAATACTATATTTCAAAAAAAATATATATAGTAGGCGAAACTACTATATTTTGCTTAAAGCATATTTTTGACAGTAAAAGCTTTCTTAAAAATTATTAGAGATTGCTATTATGATATAAGTAAGGCAAAGAGCAGCAAAAATATATTTATTTCAAAAATAGATTAAATATTATAACCATATTCTTTTTATATTTTTTTCTATTTTTCTGCCAGCTACTATATTTTTAGAAGTAACGCTTCAAAATTGCTAACCTAAATTGCTGAAGTTGGTAACCCTAACTGCAGGTTATAGTTGTATATGTGAACTTTTTCTTGGTTGTTTTATAAACAAACATTTAGTGCCTTGCTTCTTGTTTGCGATCTACTCTTCTTTCTTAGTTTATATATTAGAATTAACATAATGAATATAGAAGCGCTTATCGCGAAAAAAGAAGTAAAAAGTATCGCGAAAGTTTTTCTTAACTCTGCTGTATGGGATAAAAGAGGCAAGAACCATTCAAATAGGAATGTCGTTGATAGGTGCTGGCAAAACTTCGCTGGAGAAATGGGCGTTGAAGGTAAAGAAATACTTTTTTCTTGTAGACTAATTTTTAATACAATTTATTTTATTATATTCTAAAACGCGTATTGCGTCGTAATGATTGTTACAGAAAGTATAGCATAAAATGTAAACATAAAATAAACAATAGGCACACATACCTACTGATCTTTTTTAGATACCCAATAATTCCATGAAATGATTCTCGTTTTAAAAAAATTTTATAAGTCTAAAGAAAACATAACTAGAAAAAAATTCTATTTTCTAGTTATATTTTCTTTAGATTTAAACATCAAGCAGTTACATGCTTTAAAAATAATAAAAATTATAACTATAATTGCTATTTCTTCTTTCAAATATTTAATACTTGTAAAAGTATTCATTTGACATTGTGGGTTTACCTATAATGCGAAGAGATGGCGCTGCCTTGCAGCTTAAGAATAGCTAGAAAGAATTTCGACGCGGTCCGTGAGGGCCGCGGTAGCATAATTGGTCAGTGCATTCGCCCGGATTGCGAAGGGTGCGGGTTCGAGTCCCGTCTGCTGCCTGGTCCGCGTGGATTTTTTTCTAGTTATATTTTCTTTAGATTTAAACATCAAGCAGTTACATGCTTTAAAAATAATAAAAATTATAACTATAATTGCTATTTCTTCTTTCAAATATTTAATACTTGTAAAAGTATTCATTTGACATTGTGGGTTTACCTATAATGCGAAGAGATGGCGCTGCCTTGCAGCTTAAGAATAGCTAGAAAGAATTTCGACGCGGTCCGTGAGGGCCGCGGTAGCATAATTGGTCAGTGCATTCGCCCGGATTGCGAAGGGTGCGGGTTCGAGTCCCGTCTGCTGCCTGGTCCGCGTGGATTTTTCTAGTTATATTTTTTTCTAGTTATATTTTCTTTAGATTTAAATATCAAGCAGTTACATGCTTTAAAAATAATAAAAATTATAACTATAATTGCTATTTCTTCTTTCAAATATTTAATACTTGTAAAAGTATTCATTTGACATTGTGGGTTTACCTATAATGCGAAGAGATGGCGCTGCCTTGCAGCTTAAGAATAGCTAGAAAGAATTTCGACGCGGTCCGTGAGGGCCGCGGTAGCATAATTGGTCAGTGCATTCACCCGGATTGCGAAGGGTGCGGGTTCGAGTCCCGTCTGCTGCCTGGTCCGCGTGGATTTTTTTCTAGTTATATTTTCTTTAGATTTAAACATCAAGCAGTTACATGCTTTAAAAATAATAAAAATTATAACTATAATTGCTATTTCTTCTTTCAAATATTTAATACTTGTAAAAGTATTCATTTGACATTGTGGGTTTACCTATAATGCGAAGAGATGGCGCTGCCTTGCAGCTTAAGAATAGCTAGAAAGAATTTCGACGCGGTCCGTGAGGGCCGCGGTAGCATAATTGGTCAGTGCATTCGCCCGGATTGCGAAGGGTGCGGGTTCGAGTCCCGTCTGCTGCCTGGTCCGCGTGGATTTTTTTCTAGTTATATTTTCTTTAGATTTAAACATCAAGCAGTTACATGCTTTAAAAATAATAAAAATTATAACTATAATTGCTATTTCTTCTTTCAAATATTTAATACTTGTAAAAGTATTCATTTGACATTGTGGGTTTACCTATAATGCGAAGAGATGGCGCTGCCTTGCAGCTTAAGAATAGCTAGAAAGAATTTCGACGCGGTCCGTGAGGGCCGCGGTAGCATAATTGGTCAGTGCATTCGCCCGGATTGCGAAGGGTGCGGGTTCGAGTCCCGTCTGCTGCCTGGTCCGCGTGGATTTTTTTCTAGTTATATTTTCTTTAGATTTAAACATCAAGCAGTTACATGCTTTAAAAATAATAAAAATTATAAATATTATAAGCTTTAAATTGTTAGATTGGTTTGGTGTTATACTATTATAGAATATCCAATTTAATCCAAAAAATGAACTTTTCAACAGCGAGAAGTTTCTTCTTATCTTAATATATATAAATCTCGTGTCACAATGTTTGTCCTCAATGGACTCCTAAACCACTGAACCAATTATAATAAAATTCGCACACCATGTGCAGTTCGATCCAACTTGAGAGATAGGATAGTGTAAATCTCAAATTATAGTCGCAATTTTAATTTATTGCAAATTATTACTTTTGGGCGGTACGAAGTTCGCCGAGTCAGCTAGTATTTATATACATTTAAATAATCAATTATTATAAAACTGATGTCTAACATTTCTCCCCCCGATAATCCGCCCATCGCTTTAAAAACCCCCCAAATTTTGGAGGAAACCCCCAATCTGGCATCAGTGCTCGCGTCCGCGTCTTGTATTATCTGCCTCCACTGTGGCCATCACCTGCTTTCCTAAAGCTAACATCTCACGAGCCTGTTTTCTGAGTCTGAATCTGATTCTGAACCTGCGTGCACTGTGGCCGTACCCTCAGAAAACAAGAGTGAGAAATAAACAGTGCAGTTTGGTTGCCTGCTGCCACTATGGCCACCCTGCTTAAATTATACTGTTTTCACGCTTGTTTTCTGAGTCTGAATCTGATTCTGAACCTGCGTGCACTGTGGCCGTACCCT